AAAATGGTCTACATTCAGAAACTGAAGTTAGAAACAAATTAAGTATTTATACAAATTATAAATGGTAGACAGAGGCCACATCTACACATGCACTGAACTGCAGAGTAGACTAATTAGCTGCAGAGTAAGGCATCACCACCTACATGTGCAATGGTATTAGGCCACAGTAAACTAGTTAACACCACAGTAAGATATTATGGTTAGGATCCGTGCTATCTTACACTCTGACAGGATTGTCTTATACCAGGGTAATTTTCTGCAATTAAACTCATGTATAGACACTGACTGCGGGCATAAATTATGCCCAGTCAGCTGTGGGCCAGATTCCTGCCTGCTGCCTATCCACACAGTTCTGCACTTTCAGCACCCCCATGCCCAGCCAACACTTGATGCTGCCATCTGGAGCCTGGGGCTGAGCAGCCCTGGCATAAACTGCTCTGTCCTAGCTCAGCTTGTTGCTGTCCCGAGTACACATGTAGATGCTGTGCCCAGAAGTAGTTTACTCCAGATCAAATCACTTTGAATTAATTGCATGTGTAGATACACCCAGAGTGTCTTACTTCATGTCAAACTGTACCATTTACTGTCTTTTGATGTTGGATTATGGCTGTAATGTTCCTGCTATCCTCATGCAAGGTAGAGCAAGGGAAGGTTAGACCAATTAAAAAGACTGGTTGACTGTGAATCTAGGCTATGGTATAATAAAAAACTTCATGAAAATTACTTACCTCTATTTCTACAAAGAGTTACTGTGCACTTTATAAAATAGTAGCCCTTTCAAATATAAAGCTGGAGCTTTAACAAAGTCATTTCTCTGACATTTTGTAGAGCACTAAATTTCTTAAAAGTCTGCACAGCCATTTGCATAAGGCATGGGAGTGAAAAAAGAAGCAAAATTTTATACACTAAAATGTCAATGTCAGTTTGAAGTCCCATTAACATTGGAAAAGTCATTCTTTGCCATGGATACTGAAAAACATGTCAGTTCAAACTTTAATGCATTTTAACATGTTCTCAGTCACTATTTAAGAAGGTTTTTTATCAAATCAATTTAAAACCCTTTTTCATATTATGTATTTTGGAGGGCTTTTTCTGTGAGCCTAACATGTCTTGTTCCCCTTCAAGTATAAAGGGAATCTCCTGTTTAAAAGCAGAACTAGAAAAGATGTTATAATTAGGATGCCAACCTGGAATTTGGGAGATTTGGGTTCAGTTTTCTTCCCCTCTTGGGTCTTAGAAAGTCACTTAGGATCTCTCTTCAGTTCCCAATTGTACAACAATGACTGATGCTCAGATATCAGTAATAGGAATAGATAGTTAGAAATTAGAATTTATATTCAGACCATGACTATGAAAATCATAAATCATAATGATATAGGTTTCATTATATGGCTAAGAAATGGGAAGGAAGGGAATGCTAAAAGTTGTAAAAACTTGATGTGTACAATGGGCAAGAATTTTCTGTCACCAGCACTAGGAGAGGAACCAGATTACCAAAAAACCTAAAGCCCCCAATTAGACATCAAAATAATTGGCAACTTTTTGTAAATTGCTCATTTTTTCCTGAAAAATCTGTGTGTACCACACTGAAACTCTGGGTGCTGAGTTACTGTAACATGTCTGGTCCTTATTTAGTTACCTACTTAGGAACTGAGTTCTTTTGAAAATCTGTCTCCATATCTTCTGGCCTGGAGACAGAAAAGGAGCCATGCATTCTCCAACTGTGCAGTGTTCAGCATTGAAGGTTACTCTATTTTCAACTGCTAATGGAACAGAGGAGTGTCACCTGGATGCTTTGTGTATCTCCACTGCTTTACAGGTAACTCTGTCCTGTTCCTTTTCCCTGCTGTCATGGGGGAGTGCGATAGAACAGCCATTATGATGGCTTTGCAGTAGTGGAGATTTTCTCATGAAGAATCCATCCTGTGCTAGTTATTTAGGATAGGCTTATGGTTACCTTGCGAAACCAGAAAAGCACAGAACTGCCTAAAAAGACTGAAGAATATAGCTCAGAGAATTTTAATGCATAGCTCTTCCAGCCCTAACCACATTCAGAGAACTTGAGCTTGAGGAATGACATTTTAAAGATAATTTATTAAGTACATTTCTAGTGCAGGTGTATTAAAAAATGCACCGCTTGTAAAAAAAAAAAAAAGACAATAAATACGTCTTGACATATATTTCTTTCTTTGTGAAAAGTAAAGTATAAAACTTTAAGGTGAGAATATTTTATTTTGATCAAAAACAATTTTTCCAATGTGGCATAAGCTTATTTCATCCTACTTAGCATCCAGAGGGGAAAAGATGTGAGACTGGGAAGATGAAAAGTTGGAAAAAGAGAAGATATAATTTCAAAATAAATAACTTGTAAAAAGCCATTGGATTTTAAAGTGCATCCTGAATATGCACCACATATCAAATTGCACAGAAATCCATTTGTATGCAAGTGAATTGTCACCAAATCTAATGGGGATCACATGAACAAACCATATAGTACACCCTGGTTTGTTCTATTAGGACATGTCTACATGATAAATAATCATACTAAGAAGCATTACAGTGAAGCATGGCACACCCACTCTGTTTATATTACCCTCTGAAATGCATGTAATGTAATACATTACTGCCGTGCTAAGCACATATCGATAAGTCGGTGTTCTTGCTAGTGATAACTGGTGGGTTCTTAGTGCTGAACTAATGCAAAAATAGTGCATCCATTTAGGGATGTAGCATGTGTGGAGTGGGTGTGTGCGCAGAGAAAACTTAATGGCTTTGATTCAAAGATATTATGATAGTGGTGTGTGTTCTGCACTCTTCTCTTTTCCTCAGTTTTGTGTTTCTCACAGTCTCTGTTTTTTAGTCCTTATCCTGAATTTATCTTGAGTTCAGGATATTTTTCTTGAAAAAGAAAATGCAGATGTGTCAATATAATTGGTTTCAGCATTTTTTCAAAGGAAATATTTTGACTTTTTATTTTGTAAACATTTATTTGATAAATTGGTATTAAAAATAAGTAAACCGAGTTTTAAAAAAGCAAAGATAAAATAAACTTTGTCAAGAGGTTTGAACGCTGCAACCCCTATTTTTCTGCAGTTTTTCCCCTTTTTCTGTTTGTCAAGTGAGCAAAAAAACAAGACAAAACCAGAAACAACAGAACAGAAGAAAAACAAAAAGAAATGGAGTCAGCCCAAAACATGTTTGGTTCATCCAAGGAATAGAAAAATTCACTACTCACTATAATTCATTATAATTTACTCAATTATAAGAGAAACAGAACTAACAATATGAATACCTATGTTTATATCAAATATTTGTGTGCTTTCTCTTCTGTTCATTGTGATTTGGGGCAAGGATTTTGTTGTGTTTTGTTTTCAAATAAACAACCTTTAAAGTTAACAAAACGTATAGGCTGTGACAAACTAAGCAATTACTGTATTAGCTCACATACCACATTCATGTTTTTTCTCAAAAATAGCCTTTCAAAATTAGTGTGCCTATCAAGCTGATTTTTCTGCCCAGAATAGAAACATGAAGATATTGCAAGATGGCTGCTTCTGCTTTTCCTTCTTTCTCGCTAGTAGCTGTATGGAGGGAGGGGGATAGTCCAGCAGGGCAGATTCAGGGGGACTTTGTGGTAGAGTCATACGCTGCTTGGATGACTGATCCACACAAAATATAAAACCAACTGCCAGGAGCAGCAGTGGCATTTTTATTCAGGTAGCACTGACTGACTTCATTTTTTAATTATAAACTACCTGATTCCCATTAATTTTTCTTCACTCAGCAAGTGTTAACAACCCTCTCTCCTTTTTAATGGTCTTGATGTTCCACTAATCTATCTATCCTATCGTTGGTGTTATCTACTCTTTATCTCTCTTCTCCTATCTCACAGCCCTGCTAATTGTTTTTAGCTCTTTTCTCAATCTTAGATCAGCCGTAGATTCCAGTCTTCAGTAGCAGCTACAGTTTCAGTTTTTGGCTGAGCAGTTAAGAGCTTCCGATAATTCAGGTTTGAAGGGTTAACGGCTGTAGCTTTTATCTGAGCAGAAGAGGGAGGATAAGCAAGGCTCTGTCCCTCCTCTCTGCGGCTACAAGTATGGAAATATTTTTTTTTCCTTTATTCTACCTGTCAAAAACAAGATGCATGACTTATTGGTGGTAAGGGTTGTATGCAGTAAAATATTATGTTTAATACTGACTTTCCTTGTGTATGGGACTGAGAGAACCCTGGTCTGCAAGGCCTGTTTAAGAATCTGCTCCAAAGCATTGTCCCTATATTTCAAGACTCCTTTCCCTTGTTCTGGGCTGTGTGTAGATGAAACGGGGACTCTAAATTAACATGGTAGGTTTTTTAAAGCACCACTTCAATTTAGGGCCCTTTAAACCCCCACGTCATGCACACACTGACTTACCTGCTTCTCTGGCAGCAGGGAGGGGAGGGTGAGCTACTGGCTGGTGGAGCGATCCCTAGGTTGGTGGTGGGGACTGGTTCTTGCCTCCACAGCAGCAGTGGCCCCCTCCCAGGTGGCACCTGCCTGCAGGCACCCAGCTTGGGCAGTCCCAGGGGGCACTGCAGCCATAGAAGGGAAGCACCAGGCCCCCATGCAGCTCCTGCAGGCAGGCAGGCTCCAGGGAAAAAAAAAAAAGATCAGGCTCGCCGCTTTTCTTGGGCAGAGCCTGCCTTCCTGGGCTGCTGCCAGGCTGCTTGCAGAACCCCTGAGCTGCACAGAGCCCAGTGCTTTGCTCTGTGGCTGTAGGGACAGCAAACTAAAACTCCTCTGATGAGTTTTAATTAGCTGCACCCCAAGTCATTTAAGGTACATTATGCCACTGAATTTCCTACAGCGGCTGGAATTAATGCGCAATATACTTCTGACGTGTGCAAACACTGACATCATTAAAGTGGTGCAAAAGCATTTAGCCTGCTTGAAAGTGTCGTGCTCACATCCCTGTCATTTCATCTACACATGGCACTGGATAGTGGGTAAGGCTTCTCCTACCTTTCCAGACCACGACAGCCCATTCCAACAGCTTCTCAGCAGAATCCTGTAACTCCTCCTTTTTCATCCTACTAAAGAGAGCAGCTTAGCAGTCTACTACCTCAGATCTTGCATGCCCTCTCTTGTCCATTCAAACTCCTCTGGGACAAGACTAATGCAAAACACTGGGGACTTTGCTTGGACCCATGAGTTGGGCAACTATCTTGAGGTTTAAGTAATTCATGCCAGTATGACAGGCATTTTGTTACTTCTGCAAAGTAGCTCTTATATGATGTAGCAGTGCCTCACAGAATAGCAAGAATTGGCCTTCTACACATCTTCCCCTTCCTTTCCTGACCCAGGAGTCCCCCCAGATACAGTCCTAAGCAACGTTGCATTTTTTTTTTTAAGATTTACTGATGCTAATCTCTTTACATAAACATTCTTCACCCTTTGCTTTTCCTTGCTCGAGGTGAAAATTCAAAATGAGTTAACCGCTGGTTTAATTCCTGTTTGAGGGTGGGAAAAAATATGAACAATTTGTTTTGCTTTGATTTTCATACATTTTCAATAAGACATTTGTTGATGTTATTAAAATATTTCAATGTGTTTAAAATTAAGGGATTTTTTCATAAAGCAAAGGTTTGAAATTATGCTTTTTGCCCTAATTTAGAGCCTGAAATAGCAAACTTTTTTACAGAATTTAAAATCCATTTTTGGCAGCTCTGTTAGATCCTCAGTCTAGTTTAGAGACTGTGAATTTTCTCAGCTGTGACTGCTCACAAGAAATACAAAACTTGGAACAAACACAATTTTTACTACTTGCTTCCTGCTTCCAGTGTCAGTACTTAGAGGTGTTTACTAGAAGTTTTGATACCAGATATTGAAGTAGTGCTAGAAAATTCTTGCATCCATTCTTCACTGCTGAAATCCACAGAATATTATGGAACAGAAATTATTCGGCTGATTTATCTGTACATAGGAGTACAATGAAGGATTTTTTTATAACATCGGCCTTTTGGATAAGTTATGTGTGGAAATATTTTAGGAGCCAGTAATCACTACAGTAGCAGCAGATGTTGGGTAATCACACATGCTTGTTTCCAGATCTTACTGATGATACACTTTTGAGAATTTGGCCCTTTTAGAAAAAGCCTCATCTGCACTAAATCAAGTTCCTTCTTCCATGACAAGCTCTGCTTGTAGACTACACACAAATTGGTAGTGTACAATGTTAGTGATGCTGGATGCCAAATCAAAAAAAGAAGTAGATAAATCAAAGCTGGAGGGAAAATGTCATTTTCCCATCTCTTATTCTTTTCTTTTAAGTATGAGTCATCTGCAGGGTTTGAATATGGAGCCTACAGCACCAGAGTTAAGACCTCTCCCACCAAAGCTAAGGAAGTAACTTCAATAGCTGATATCAATAGTGTCTTCATTGCAGGGTAGACATTAAGAGCAATTTTCTTGCACAAACTCAGTCCAAGGAGCTTGTGTGGTATAACCCATGTTACAAAAAACTTTAACTTCCATCAAAAATGCAGTTAGAGGAATCCCACTGTCTTCTACCAGTCTTTAGAAAAAATGGTTGGTTTACTTCTCCCCAGTCCTAAAGGCAAATGTAGCCTTAAGACTATGGGGGGAACCGTATATGGGGAGAAAAAAAAAGTATCTTTTAGTTATGGTCTGTACAGGTAAACTGTATGGAATAGATATTACAGAAATGCAATACTGCAGAAGCCATTTAAAAATAACTCTATGGGGATATACTAGGGGCTACATGTACACTTTACTGCAATGTTGCCTAATTAGCTTCTCAGTAAAGCATCACTATTTGAAGTGTGATGCTATTAGGCCAGAGTAAACTAATTAAATCTGCCATGGGATAGTACTGCCAGACACAAATACTATCCTATTGTGGAGTTATTTACTTCACCACAATGCACGTATAAACAGTGACTAGGGATGGCTGGGGCACGAGGATGCTACAGTGTGGGGGCTGCCTGCCAGCTAGCGCCACCCCAGCCCAATGTCCTGCAGTCTCAGGCACATGTGTAAATGCTGCACCTCAGAGAAATAAAAAAAAACTTTGATGTGAACTGCACCAGAATTTATTCAGGTTCATTACCTGCACACATAGATGTGCCCCCTTGGACTTAAATAAAAGTGTCTTTTCCAACTGAGATTTTGATACTGCTGCAACCCCACAGAACCAACATATTCTGCTTCAGCAGTGAGTGTACTGCAAGGATACTACTCCAAAGGCAGACTGTCAAAATGAGTTAGAAATCCTTTTTCCAGCCTGAAAAATTCAAACAATCCCTTCCTCCCCCAGAAAAGATACCCAGAGAGTTGTTGGTGTTTTTTGTAGATTTACAGTATGATCTGCTCCTGATCATATCTAGATAAACTTTTATATAGGGCTGTACTTGGGTATTGGAGAATGCTTTTAGTTTGGCACATAATCAAGAATATAGAGGCACAATATTTTAAACCATATATTTACATCATTAAGATATATATATCTCTTAGAGAGAGAAAGTATGTGTGTGTGTGTATATATATATATATTTAGTTATTAAATTATTTTAATTTTTGTAATGGTTTTAAATCTCAAAAAAAATTAGAGTCAAATTACTTTGGGGACAAATACTTGTAGCGATCCTTAATTTATTTATGTTAATTTGCCTGTTCTATAGGAATCATCTAACATGGGATTATTTCTATTATACTTAATTTTATGGGAAAAAAGAGCCAGTAAGAAGACACTCATACTAGAATTGTTAGGAAAACCTATAATAATCAAGCCACTGGCAAATATTGTATCCAAAAGGGAAAGCAATATTTTTTTTAATGTAACATATCCAAGAAAGTAATGTTTGTATGACGTTTTCCATTCTTCCATCACCTAATAGAATCTAATCAGGTGCATCTAATTTTGAAATTGCCCCTTTAATGGAATCTTATACATGACTGCATTGACTCCTTGCTGAATCTGGGAGCATGCCCTACCAACTGATTCCTGATGCATACACTTTTGCAAGTCATGCACTGTAGCCCTCTTAGAGTGGCACTGAGTGCATATCTCTAAACATACCCAAGAAAGAGAACCCAAGAGTTGTGCTGGGTGAGTACTTACGATTATTCTATATTATCTCAGGTTCAGGAGTTGCAGCACACAGCAAGAACAAGTGGGTAGACTTCACTTCATGGCAGCACTCCTTGGTGCAACACAAAAGCTGTATAGATATGCTATAAAAGTCTCCTAATCTGGATTTGGCTCATGGACCATACTGTAGAACAATATTTCTGAAACTCCAGAATATCACCAAAAGCTGTTTTGGGGAGTTGGTCTTTTTGGCAAGTGCATATGTTGAACAGATTTTATACCACCTGGGTATTCAAAATATGGAGGGAAAATCTGACTTGTAATAAAATACTCACTTGAAAGCATATTACATATGACAGCCTCATTTCCATTTTTATTATTTCTATAAAATGAAACATCATTGCATATTTCTCAGCAGAGATAAGAACAGCAAGAGATCAAATCAGACCCCTCTACACAGCACAATGATAGGAATGGATGAGTTATAGAATCCTATCTAATCAGGGTAAAATTCAGTGTGGTGTTTGACAGTAGTCTAGGAAAGGCTGCAATTGATAGAATGAGGCCATTTTGTTACAGAAAACAGAGATTAGATCTCAGTGATATCAGATAAATTCTATGCAATTTATTTGTCTCGTTTTCATTCCTAACCCAATATGGGTACCAACTGAGGTTACTTCAATATAAAGGATTAAGGGAAAAATAACATATTTGCTAACAAGAGACATTTTAGGGAGCAAAAAATTACATGTTTATCCAAGTATTTATATGATTTCATTACATAAAATAAACTGTGTTTCTTTGGGGCAGGGAATTAGATTGGGGGAGAGGGGGACTTTTTCAGGGCATCTTCATTGCTTATATTTTTCACACCAAGAAAGAAGTTTCTTATACCGAGTATAGTTTTTCATACCAAGTATAGAAGTTTGAAGATATACAAACAAAATGTTTGAACAATGTAACACATGTAAAAAAAAGTGGTGAATACTGGTTTGTATTTAAATGAAAAAAGAAAGGAAATCTACCTTAGACAACTTTTTTATCTGATTTAGGGTCTTACAACTGAAAAAAAAATAGTTGCTGGTTACTGCTGAGCAGGATGCCTAAATAAATTGATGGATACATTTCTTTGATTTTTTAGCATACCTCATCTTGTCCTTTGCCACCTATCTTTTTACTACCTGAGCTGTTTTCAGAGGCATTCCTTGCTGTTCCTTGGTGCCCATTACCGTGCTATCATATTTAAATTACCATCATGCTGCACTGAAACAGCTATACAGGTTTCCCTCACTTTATCCTGTACATGTGTTCCTGGAAAACGGTGCATAACTTGAATTCTCATAAAGGAAGCCCACTTTATAATGTAGGATAGGGATACTTTCCAAGACTTTGACTGTACTGACCCCGAGACCCATTTCTACCACTTTTACAAGACAATGTTGGTACTCACCAACAGCAGACAGTACACACAAGCACAGGGCACTCTCATAATGGGGATGGCAACTACAGAAACACATGTTTCAGACAACGAGCAAGGAGCACAGATACACACAGGAGACTATTTTGGTGTGCGTCACTCCCACAATGCACCACAAAAAGCAGACGACTGTGGGCTTCCACTATACCAATCACATAAGAGTGAATTTACCTCCCATATAATGAATTTTTGGTATAAAAAGGGTCATTGCATAATAGCGAATTTGCACGTACAGAATCCACATAACGCAAGGGAAACCTGTATTGGAAGCAATAGCTCTTCTCACTGAAAAGGAAAATAGTTATTTTTAAATTAAACACTAAGGCCAGGTACAGACATTAAACTTTTACTGGTAGAAATAATCAGCAGGGATCCTGGTTTTCTCTGATGAAAAAAAAAAAAAATCCCCAATTTTCAGGTTTAAAAAAGTAACCAAAAATCTACATCAACTTGGCCTAGAGGATCCAGCCAGTAAGAGCAGCTACAGAGTAGATAAATCAGG